AGGAAAGCGATGACAAACCTCGACAGCATCCTAAAAAGCAGAGACATCACCTTTCCAACAAAAGTCCGCATAGTCCAAGCTATAGTAGTGATGTATGGAAGTAAGAGCTGGACCATAAAGAAAGCTGACAGCCGAAGAATTGATGCTTTTGAATTGTGGTTCTGGAGGAGACTCTTGAGAGTCCCCCGGACTGCAAGGAGAACAAACCTATCCATTCTAAAGGAAATCAACCCTGAGTGCTCACTGGAAGGACGGATCCTGAAGCTGAGGCTCCAATACTTTGGCCATCTCATGAGAAGAGAAGACTCCTTGGAAAAGACCTTGAGGTTAGGAAAGTGTGAAGGCAAGAGGAGAAGGGGACGCCAGAGGATGAGATGGCTGGAGAGTGTCATTGAAGCTACCAGAATGAATTTGACACAACTCCAAGAGGCAGTGGAAGATAGGAGGGCCTGGCGTGCTCTGGTCCGTGGGGTCACGAGGAGTCGGACACAACTAAACGACTAAACGACGACGAGTACCAGCACTACTATGGATGGTTTACAAGTTAAGCTTAAAACCTCACAAGACCCCACATAACAACATACATTCAAACAGTATTGCGACACACAACTATAAAGTCTGAAATTCATACAAAGAAGAGAAAAATTACAGCATCCTGGAGATTCAGTCATAGATGGAAGCTTCAAATAATTCCGTTTTTCCCAGTTTCCTGAAATTAAGGAGGGAAAGAGTCTGGCACTTCTCAGTTGGTAACATGTTTCAGAGACATTGAAAAGGCCCAATTCCTTCTACAGTAATTGCCTTTTTGGCTCCCTTAGGGTGGCCCTTTGTAGCAACACAAATTGAGAGGAATGGGTGGAAAGGATAGCTGATTTCTGAGACATTTTGACAAGTATCAGGATCGTAAACCATTAAGGGCTTTATAGGTTTTCAGAAGCAATTTTAAAGCCTAAAAATGCAAAGGAAAAGTTGAGTTGGAATTTAGAATTGAAACACTAATTCCAAGTAAGGTAAAGGTAAAGGTTCCCCTTGACAATTTTTTGTCCAGTCGTGTTCGACTCTAGGGGGCGGTGCTCATCCCTGATTCCAAGCCATAGAGCCAGTGTTTGTCCGAATATAATCTTCCGTGGTCAAATGGCCAGTGCGACTTAGACACGGAACGCTGTTACCTTCCCACTGAGGTGGTCCCTTTTTATCTACTTGCATTTGCATGCTTTCGAACCACTAGGTTGGCGGGAGCTGGGACAAGCGACAGGCACTCACTCCGTCACGTGGATTTGATCTTACCACTGCTGGTCTTCTGCCCCTGCAGCACAGGCTTCTGCGGTTTAGCCCGCAGCGCCACCACGTCCCACGTCCAAGTAAGTTGTTCTGAATTCCATGCACTTTTGGATTACTAGAGTATGTACGAGTAGCTGCATCACACACCGATGAATGATGCTTTCGTTTTTCATATATTTTACACTAAAGTTTCCCCAAATCACTTATCACTGTCCCTACTGGCACGGACCAATAGTAGTTGTAGGCCCCAAGATGTAGAGCAGCGGTTCCCCAACCTTGGGCCCCCAGATGTTCTTGGACTAAAACTCCCAGAAACCTTCACCACTAGCAGTGCTGGCTGGGATTTCTGAGAGTTCTAGTTACACAAGGTTACACAAGGTTGGGAACTGATCAAGATCAGCCTTTTTTTGGCCATGGCCATAAGCATAAGACCCTGATGTTAGGAAAGCGGGAAGGAAAGAGGAGAAGGGGACGACAGAGGATGAGATGGCTGGACAGTGTCATCGAAGCTACCAACATGAATTTGACCCAACTCCGGGGGGCAGTGGAAGACAGGAGAGCCTGGAGTGCTCTGGTCCATGGGGTCACAAAGAGTCGGACATCACTAAACAATAACAACAATTAGCACAATATGAAATAAATATAGGCTGAATCAAGATTGTGTAAGTCACATAACAAACTTTATAAAGTGGTGTCTGAATAACTGTTTCCAATAGAGATAGGGGTATTCATATTGGTATCCCCGCACAGCTGGAATTAATGAGGGTTTATTCCTGCTCACTAGCCACTCCAGGCAGAGGAAGGGACGACAAATTTCCCTGCACAGCTGCTGAGTGGCTAGTGAGTGGGAAGAGAGCAGCACTCCAGGAGTAATTGGAAGGAAGAGTGACACCAACACCAGACGCATGGGTGGATATCAACTCCAGCTGTGTGAATACCCCCATCTCTTGTTTCCAGTCTTTGGCCTTCTTCAAATGTGCCAGTGCCCCATTAAGAATGGTTGATGAGGACAAATTTTACCTTACAGTTTTCCAGATTTAGGTCTCCCTGTTTGTGAGTTAGGTCTATTTGCACATGGCTGGATGCATCTGAGCATATCTCATCCTATCATAGAATCATAGAACAGAGTAACTGAGTTTGAAAAGACCTATAAGGCTACCAAGTCCAATCCCCTGCTCAAAGCAGGAATCAGTCCTCTCCCCTTCTTTGTGTGAACTACTTTGCCAGTCCAAGAATGGGAAAGATGAAAGACCTGTTCTTTCTATGACAACTTATTCCTACCCATATTATCTAGCTATAAGAGAAGTGAAAGAGTGACAAAATAAACAGACTTGAATGCTCCCTCGCCCAAGCAATTGGTGATATATCAACAGCATTTCCCAGTTCCCAGCATTAAGTTGAAAACGCTTGAGAAACCACAAGTTGCCAAGCACTGACTGCCTGATGCCATCTTATCCATTTTACAGCTGTCCCTTGCTGGCTATTCAAATAAATGCTTGACATAAGTGAAAAGCATCTTGATCCAAAGCTCTCTCCCTGTGTGTGTATGTGATGATAAAGAATTTCCAAAAACAAATGAAGATTTGGTGGGGAGCAGGCTAGGCATGTACAGTCAGGTGGGCAGGACTTGAACCAAAACACTACTATTGACCCCAAGAAGGCTCTAGACGGCTCTTGAAAGAAGTGGTAGGGAAATAAAGCAAGCAAAGTACAGTAAGTGCTCTTCCCATCATACTTCATTTACTTATGTATGGAGCTTGCACATACAAATAATCTGGAACACACTCAGTCAAGTCTTGTTTGAATTTTAAAAATCCTATTGATGGCAAGGAAAGGTTTAAAAACACTTCTTGTATTACTGAGCAGAAGCCTACAGACCATGTCATTGCTGATCAGAGTTTATTCCATGGCAAGAAAACCTGTTGTATATCTTCCACCTGAGAACATTAGGTACGTATATAGAAGACTCTGTTGCACATGATGTTCGTAAAACACATTAAAAATCAAATGATGGTGATTCTGGTTAGGTTTTCTTCTCCTCTTGGTATTTAAGTGGCACAAATCTACCATTCTTCTCTTTCTCCTATATCTGCCATTAAAAAGCCCTGTTAAAATAAATACTGTACGCTGGAACTGAAGCATTCCCCTTGATAAATAGCACCAGTGGGCATCTGGCTGATGCCACTGTGATCTATTTCTGACAGTAAGGGTTTTGTACAGATATGAAACAGAAACGAGCACTGACCTAGGCATAAGATTAAAGCACCACATGAAAGATTTCAATCAGATCTTCTAGTGCACTAGTACCACTAATAAATGGTAAATGGTGATAATTAATTTGTTATTAAACAGGAAGCAGCTTAGAAGTGTGCAAAAATACTTTCCCCATTTTTTGTGACAGAATCACCTATGGTTGCTTTTCAAGCTGCATTTCCTAAAAACTGTATCAGGCAAAAGGTTTCCAATGGACAACTAATGAGGCCAGTCTATACGAAAACAAACCATGAAGCAAGGGAATGGCTCTTGTGAGCAAAGTCCTGTCATAATGGATAGGCTTTCTGTATTTATGAAGGAGATAAATGTTTCACACACCACAGAACTGGTGTAGAGTAGCTCATTATTTAGCTAACTAGGCCTGTATTTGTGAGGCTCTTCTCCATATCTGAGGACTTGCCTCCCTTTGTTTAATGAAGGGCTGGCTAAATTGGGGTTCCCATGTAATTAGTTTTAAAAGAGGTAGCCATGTTAGTCTGTGCTAGCATATGAAACAAAAAGATTTTTAAAAAAGACAAAAACATTGTGGCACCTTAAAGACTAACTACTATCTTTTAATGTGAGCTTTCAGGGAAAAGTCCACTTCCTCAGACATAAGAGTGCAATTTTCTTCACTGATGACCTTGGACTGGAATATATTTTAAAAAAATTATTAGTGTAATTAGTGAGACCCATGTTTCTCTAAATTTCAGACTCTCTTATAAGAAGTCACTGATCATCATAGAATGGAATGATAGCTAAAAACAAATGAACAAAATACCTACCAAGCTAAAAGAAACAAAGCACAAGGAAGTATTAATAGTCTTAGTGCCAATGCTTTGGCTCTAATCGATGGAAGCACTCCTGCTACATATATTCACAGCTTGGAAATGTTGGTGTTCTTTGGTTGGTTTTGGTTTTGGTACCGCTTTCAGAATCTCCTATGTCCATGTTGCCATACATGCTGCAGAGTGCTGTTATCAAAATGGATTTGTATCCATGTACCTTATTTATTTTTAAACTTTATTGCCATTAAAAAAAGAACAAAGTAAACAATTATCACAATGTAAGCACATAACCAAGATAACTTTCTATTATCTCTTACGCAAAATAGTAAGTCTTTAACATCTTTACTTCCTTATTTTCCACCAGACATTTATTTTCTTTGCAATCTTAATAATACCTTTCTTCTTATTTTATATCTATGTTAACAATCTGCTTTACTTTTTTTTTACCTCTAGCAATGTTGGGAGCAGTTTTGTGTCTAATTTATACCCGAGTCACTTGGTACAGGTTTGGAATCTTTCTTCCATTTCTCTCAAAGATAACTTTTTATTTTCCCCCACTGAGATGCGTGCTCCATTCTACCCTTTCCTTTCAATGAGTCTGTTAATTCATCCATTAATATTAATTCCCGTAATTTTATTAAGCAGTCCTTCACCGAAGGTTCCTCCTTGTCTTTCCATTGTTTTGCCACTCGAATTCTGGCTGCTCCTAATATGTATAAACAAATCTTTGTCTCTTGTTTCGAGTTTAACTTTACCATATTTAATAAATATGTTTCAGGTTTCATTCCTACCATTATTTTTAAGTCTATGGTAATTATTTTTTCTATTTCTTTCCAAAATGTCTTAATAGATTTCTTACCTTATATAGGAAATACATACTGTAAAAATAATGAAATCCCCCCAAAATAGATATTGCGGCCAGTATCACAAACTGAATAAACTATTACATGAGAGAATTTTACGACAGTCAAAACTGATGTGTACTTTCTCAAATACCAACCCCATACTGTTTTTAATATTTAATTGGCTATATCTTGGGATCTTCTAGGGAGGTGTTATTTCTGATCCTGTCCGTGCTGTGCAACTGCTGTGCAGATAATGTCATTCTTCAATCAAATATTAGAAGCTGAAACTTCCAATAGATTTTTTCTAGTTTTGTTAAAAAAGCTCAGTGACTAAACAAATAACTTTGATGCTTTTCAGATAGCCATAAAATAGGGGGTTGGGATTATGCAAAGCAATCTTTTAGAAACAATGACCTAGGTCATTAGTCCACTGGTCAAGATCCAAAAAGTCAAACATTGGTCTGCAAGCAAGTATTGTGGCTTATCACCAATTATGAGGATACCTATTCCTTATAGAGATGGGGAACAAAACTGAGGTCTATGAAGATTCTAGTGGGCCATCATGCACGACTGATAACTACATTCAGCTATCACAGATTATGCAGAACTGCTAGACAAGCACAACTCATTCCATTCACTTTGTTACTTTTCACAGTTCGGAAAGGGATGGTCATGGGAGGGTGAGAGGAGTAATTTCAGTTAATATTAGATCAGTAGCAACAAACTCTTTGACAGAGTACTGAATGATGACTATTGAATCATACAAGAGTATAAAAAACTCATGTCCAATGGCTTAGCTGTAGTAATATGTCACAAAAAAGAGAAGAGTGATTCTGAACAATGGCATCTTACTGTATGTATAATTCTGAAATAGCCTCACTCTTCCTCGTATGCATTATTTTGCAAGGTGGGCTTTCATGTTTGGCCTTTGACATATCAATGGCAGGTGTGGGATAGCCCAATGACATAAACTGTTGTGATTGTAAGGAGCAGAAGCTGAGCTTAGACAAGAAGAATACAGTTGCTTCTGTGCACCTCTACTCTGCACAGGTGAGCATCTGAATTAGACATTAGAGGAGTATGGTTCGGTATTATTAAAAACATTATCAGATTCGTATGCAGAACAGGAGAAAATGTAACTCACTGAGGAGTTATTAAAATATATTCCAGTGCAAGGTCAGTAGAGAAGAAAAACTAGTTCTAATGTCATGCTTTTCCTCGCCATGAGTCCCTACGGAAAAATGCACCTTAAAACTTTTTCCCATGAGTCATCATTGCAGACAATTCCATGAGTTGGGTTTCATACCTTGTCCAGTTTCACCTCATGATGTTACTTGAGCAAGTGGTGTGGAAGGACCACCTGCATATTTTAAATAGCTATGTATCTGTGAAAATAACATTTTAAAGCCATCCTGTGGATCCAAAATATTACTTGGGAACTAGCTTGGAATTTGGTCTGTGGATTAAATAATACTTTTCCCAGTCATAAGATGACATTGAATGTACGTATATCTTAACTAAGACTGGGGAAAAACTTTGAAAACAAAGGAAAAGACTGATTTGGAGGCACCAGACTGGTAAAACATATTAAGAGTTGAACAATCCAGTTGTGTTCCCTTTAAAGTAAACCTTGCCCATATATACAAAAGCCTGCTCTAGACACAATGATCAACAAGCCCAACCAATTAAATATATGTCCATTGTGAAAGACAAAAAAAAATTACTGGCTTGGTTCAATTTTGGGGGTTCTTGTTCTCCTGTCTGCATTGTGCGAGTGCTGTTTCAAGACTGTAATTCATTCTGTTCTAGCAAAGTCCAGCTTTTTAGCAAATCTGCCATGCAGTTCAAATGTAGATGCATCTTGGAAAGGGAATACTGCTTAATACTAGATTAGTTCCTTTGAACATAGATGCAGAGTCCCCTTCGATGCAAAATTCTTCACAGATCTTCAGTGGCTCAAGCAGCAACAACCACAACAGCACAGTAAATTTTTTGTAATTGTTCAGAAATACACAAAATATTTGCATATCATTTCACCGTGTACTGGCAATCTGGCAACCCCCACCCCAACAGGAAGTACCTGTGTTGTAGTCGAGATCTGCTCTGCTCCAATATCCTTAAGTGCCCCTTCCCTTTTCAGACATCTCATGCATCTTTCCCCCTTTCTTCTCCACTTCACTTGTGAATTAGTGAGTGTAGTGTTTTCCTTCCCCTTTTCTAATCACAATTTCTCCTCTTTATTTAGTTTTAAAACTTTTTACTTCTCATCCTCATCTCCTTCACTCAAGCTGCTAAAGGATGCTGAGGCAGCTTTAGGAGAAGATGGAGGCGAAGTCTTTCTGAAGAGCCAGGGTGAAGGGGGAGATGGAGACCTAGATGGTGAACGTTCCCGTGTTGGACTGCCTGTGGGACTCTGTCGTGGAGAGAAGGCTTGAAGCATACGCCCACTCCTCTCTTGAAACATCTGCTTCTGGAACACAAATGGACAAGAAAATGGGTTTGTATGGACACACTAGAAAAGAAGAAGAAAAAGCTGTTCATCCTGGGATAAGAAAAGTGCTTGCTATATAATGTTTTAATTATTTCCATTTTAGCCCACAAAACAGATGTAGCAATTGTCACTCATTCAAACTATTCTTGGGCATATGTTAAAACAATGAGCTTGGACTTCTGCAATGCAGACAGTGTCTGAAATCAGTAATTAAGTCACAACTAAAGTTGGTCCCATTGAATTATTGGAGATTTGGTAAGTCAATTTCTATCTGAGTTCAACTGATTCAATGGGCCTACTCTAGGTGTGACCTACTATTGGATTTCAGCTAATTAGATATGTCTGTCTTGGCAAAGTCACTCTCTCTAACTGCTCTTCTATAAAACTATATGTAATGTTTGTTTATAGGACTCTATGGCCCTTGAGTTGTTAGCAAAACACATTTGTAAGTTTGTATCAAGAGTGGAAGAAGGAAGGTGCCTTATACACAGTCAGGCTTTTGGTCATCCATCCAGTTAAATATTCTAGTGGTCCAGGGACCAATTTTCTACCTCCAAGAAAATGGGAAGGAAAAGGATAGAAGTATTATGCAGTTGGACATCTACTTCGGTACTTCCTTCCTCCCCTCTGTTTGGGGTGGTGGTTGTGAGGCTGAGTGGAAATGCTTTAAAAAAAAAGTAGAAGAAGCAAAGCAAATTTTTTACAGGGGGTGGTAGAATACAAAGCATGTATTTCACCACTGTGTTCTGGCCCTTAAAGTTACTGGAAAGGAAGAGTTTGAGGTAGAAAAATAGGTGAGTCGTGTTTGTAGCATGATCGTATATACAGTATATTAGGTACAGTATGTCTGTCTAATACACACACACACACACACACGTATATATATATACACACATATACATATATACATATACATATATATATGTATGTGCTGTACATATACAGTGGTGCCTCACTTTACGATTGCCCCGCATTACGCCGAAACCACATTACGACGATCTTTTTGCGATCTTTTTGCGATTGCAAAACGATTGTCTAAATGGGTTTTTTTGCTTTGCGATGATCAGTTCCCTGCTTCGGGAACCGATTCTTCACAAAATGATGATTTTAAAACAGCGGAATGGCGGTTTCAAAATGGCCACTGGCTTCACAAAACGACGATTTTAAAACAGCTGAATGGTGGTTTCAAAGTGGCCACTGGGTAAACAAAATGGCTCCCCTCTGTTTTGTGGGACGAATTCCTCGCAAGACAGGCAGCGAAAACGGCTGCCCTATGGAGGATCTTTGCTGGATGGTGAGTTTTGACCCCACTGGAACGCATTGAAGGGGTTTCAATGTGTTTCAATGCGTTTTTTTTCGCTTTACGATGTTTTCGCTTAACGGCGATTTTCCTGGAATGGATTATCGCCGTTAAGCGAGGCACCACTGTATATACATACACATATACATATATACATATACACACATATATATGTATGTGTATACAGTGGTGCCTCGCTTTACGATCGCTCCATTTAATGACGAAACCGCATTACGACAAACATTTTGCAATCGCTTTTGCAATCGCTTTACGATGTTTCCTATGGGGGAATTTCGTTTTGCGATGATCGGTTCCCTGCTTCGGGAACCGATTCTTCACAAAACGATGATTTTCTTACAGCTGATTGGCAGATTCAAAATGGCCGCTGGTTAAACAAAATGCCCCCCCACTGTTTTCTAGGACGGATTCCTCGCTGCACGGGCAGCGAAAATGGCCGCCCTGTGGAGGATCTTCGCTGGACGGTTAATTTCCAGCCCATTGGAACACATTAAACGGGTTTTAATGCGTTTCTATGGGCTTTTTAATTTCGCTTTACGACGTTTTCATTCTACAGTGATTTTGCTGGAATGAATTAACGTCGTAATGCGAGGCACCACTGTATGTATGTATGTATGTATGTATGTATGTATGTATGTATGTATGTATGTATGCATGCATGCATGCATGCATGCATGCATGTATGTATGTATGTATGTATGTATGTATGTATGTATGTATGTATCCTCAGAAGTAAACCCTTTTGCACTCAATAGTCCTCATGCTCATGAAAATAGGTACATAGTTCGAGACTTAGGTATTCCTCTCTGCTTAATTTCTTTAGTCCTAATTAATCCAGAAGAGGTTCTTCCTGGATGGAAGATGCATAATTCTATTGCACATTTTTCTCTTGAAATAGCCTTAAATAATACACATTTAAAGAAAGTAACAGCACACAATGGAGTATACTTGTAGCAGAAATTAGCATGCCTGTAACTATTCCTCAATATGTAATATCTAATGTCAGCCAACAGTGAAAGCAGCATCTGATATACAGAATTAATATTGGTGGTAATTTTGAATGTAATAGCAAGTCATTGTAAAAAGCTGATTTTCTGTAGTTACTGACATTAATGTAATTCTCCCTGCACTCCTCGCCCCCAACCATTGAACACCATGGTTTTATTGTCATTGAGCTTTTCTCTAGAACAATGCCACCTCTAATTCCACTCTTCAGTAGCTAATTTTATGTGGCTTCTCTCTGCAAAGGCCTTCATATAAAATCACTTCCAGTTTCCTGCTCTGTAGTTGCTGCACTCTCAGGCCAGAGATTAGAGACAGCCCATAATCAGAACTGAAAGCATGTTAATATTGCAGAGAGGTGGTTGAAGTGCTCTTCCTAGGCCGGTGGAATCACATTTCCAAGGAATCCCATGCTTAAATCCTAAAGACCAATCACCAAACAAAATGAGCTATTTATTCCTGAAGATAGGAGCTTATGCTGTGGCACTCAGATGTCCACATTAATTAAGAAGCTTCATTTTGCATTTGGCAGTACTTCTAACACTTATTTCTAGCCTCGGTCATATTAAAAAAAAACATACAAACAAAAGATGTTGCTTCTAGTTTTCACTCTGAAGAGATATGCAGCCAAATCCATAAACTGCAAGTGAAGACCAGTTTTATCATCTTCATCACACTGATCATATTTACTTATATTTTCCACAGCAGGATCAAGTGTGAAAGAGCTTTTTGATCCTAACCAAATTACCCTCTACAGAATACCTTGTGGTTGGAAATTCTGAGGAAACTTTAATGCAACTTGGGAGGGGGGGAGGATTTCCCCCCCTGCAATGTTTAGACTTTACCTTCCATAATCCCATTATCTTGGGTATGTCCAATGGGCTAAGCCTTTAACTTCTGGTATCCAATTAAATGTTTGTGAAGCTTTGGAGGATTGTGGCTAGAGCAGGTAAGGATGGACTGGACAGAACATTGTATAAAGTTGTTCCATATGGTCATATGATATAGCTTCTCCCACTTTACTGATTGAAACACAGAGGCCATGTATTGTGGCTTATTTATAGCAAAAAACAATGTGGCTAGAGCAGGTAAGGATGGACTGGATAGAACATTGTATAAAGTTGTTCCATATGATATAGCTTCTCCCACTTTACTGATTGAAACACAGAGGCCATGTATTGTGGCTTATTTATAGCAAAAAACAAGCAGCTACTGAATTACACCAATCCAGGTCTTCCTGGTCCAAAATAGCTACACCATACTGCCTTTGAAAACAATCAATGTCTTTGGCGCCATATTTTGTATCCATTACAAACTCATATCTGTGAATTTCATTGTATGGGTATACTGTGTATATACTTAAAATGACAATAAATTATTATTATTATATCATTGCAATTTCAACTATAAACAATGCTATTGTAATAACAATGCTATTGTAATAATGTAAATACTACAGTACTAGATTTTTGCTTCCATTGAAATGAACAGAGGTAGAATATGCATATAAAACCGGGATTGGGAGTTGGGGTGGAGAGGTAGGATTTTGATGTGAAGAGGATAAGGACAATTGTGTGACCAGGACCAGCATGTTTGTTCAGCTTTGTTTGGTGTACCATAACTGTCTCTACCTGGAGAAAGATATTCCAACCATTGTTCTATGCTTTAATCATCTCACATATAAACTACTGCAAAAATCTCAACATTGATGCAGTAATGAAATCTTTTGCAAAAAGCAATAGATGGGCTACTTTGAAGGTCCAATATCCTCCTGCTTGACTCTGCTTGTTGTTTGTGTTGGGGGCCCTGTTATATGTCTCCACCTAGGTTAGTGAGAGACTCTCTCCCTGGCCTAAAAAGTTCCCTCTTTCTCTTTGGCTAGCTTTAGATGGCTCATGAAAAACTTTGCTCTGCCTGACATTAAAATTATTTTGAACAAAATTTTACTTGTTTTTTAAACATGACTTTTGTCCAGTTTTAAATGTAAACATTTTGTTAAAATATTTCTTTACCTGTTTTAATTTGTGTATCCACCCTGTGAGGTACATTTTAGAATGGCAGGCAATTCAAAAATTGTATCTATATATAGGAATCAATATAGAAAGAAATTAATCAGTACCCAAGCTCCATCTGGCCCAAACAGTTCTAAGAAGTTGCCAATAAACTCTCTAGACTTTTCTTCCCATTTCTGAATGAGATCATGACTTTTTTCTTCCACGCGATTCACAAATTCTTTAGACCTTTCTTCCACATTCTTTACTTTTTCCTTCATTTTGTCTACCTGGTTTTGAAACCGGTATTTCTTCTCCTGGTAAAAACAAACACAAAAGATGGCTGGTTTGTGAAGATGACAGGCCCCCCTATGTGAACATTAAGAAGAACGAAAATAACTCAGGTGGTACTTTTAACCTTTTTTATGAGATGGTGGTAATTTTTTATTTTTTAAAAAAGGTGAGGGGGTGTTACACTTCTTCTGTTTGTACCAATCCTAATCTGGACTGAGGCTGCTTACTTTAGAGTAAAAATAAAAAACAACACTTGTCATATTTAGGATAATTGTTGCATATTTAGCATCAATTGATGTAGCATATAGCAGCATCAGATTTTGAATCCTAATTATTTAGCATGCACTTTGAAACACCAAGGATGGTTAACTATAACCATATGGTACAGTTTAATAAAAGAGAATGAAACTTTGGGTTAGTCAAGCCAATATAATATTTGGTGGCATGGCATGGCAGATGAATCTTGCAGATCACCACCATTCACTTTGATGGTTACTGTAACCACTGTTGCTGCTGAGAAGCTGAGGGATATACTGTACATCTTTTGGTATATTTTTTAGTATTTTGGACCTGTTTTGACCTACTTCACTTGTAGGCAGCAGGGATCACAGTTCTAATTACATTTGTTGCAATTTCCCATCAGTTTTGGGTTCTGCCAAAAAAATAAAAAATAAAAACACTTTTTCATCATGGCCATCTTTCAGTAGAGTGCCCACAGCCTCAGTAGAGTGCCCACAGTTAAGTGTATAAATAACGTATGGTGGACATAAAATTGTCATCTGGTGGGGAACAAAACAAAAAAGCCAGAGCACTGAATTGGCAGAGGCTGCCATTGAGAAAGGGAACACATCCTACTTTTGTAAACCATTCCCCAATCTCTCCAGAAGATGGATATTTTGAAGATACAGTTTACAAGGACAATGCAGGTGCATCTGTAAAGCAGGAGTAAAAACTGCCTGAGAGCCCAAACACCTTATGTTCAAGGTGTCTGTCCGTTTCGATCTACAAATCCCACAAGATCTTGAGTTCCTCATTTTCTCACACCTTCTCTATCTGATGTTCCCATGGGTTTTTGGAGGCCAGCAAGTTATATTTTTTCCATAATGACCGGTGCACTAACTTTGCCACTCTATCATGTCTAACTTTGTAATCTGTTTGTGCAATCTTTGGATATTCACAGATGAGGTGTGACACAGTTTCATCTTTTTCTTGGCAGAATCAACATTTGCTGTTGGCATGAACTCCTTGGATCTTAGCTTTCATCATGTTGGTTTGGCGTGCTTGTGCAGCAAAAAGCAAGCCTTCAGTTTCTTTAAGGGTTCCCAGTTTTAAGCATACCCATGTTGAATTATGATCATGCTTTCCATCAATATTTCTCAGGTTTTGTCCATGTAGTGGCTTATTTTTCCAGCTGTTGTTGTTGTTGATGATGACGATGATGACGACGATGTTGCTGTTGTTATCATCATCATCATCATCCTTAAACACAGCATTTTGTTTAGGCCTTGGAAACCAGAAGGATATTTTTATTATTGTGATTCCCAAAGCAGAAAGATGACTAGGATCATGTTACTTAACAGTCAAAGGAAAATGTAGAATATGTTCTTATGGAAGAACTAAAGAGTACTTTACATGTGATGGATTTACTACATAAGTTTATAGAGATGTAAGAAAATAAAACATTTATATATCTGTTCATTATCATTTGAGGATAGGAACTGTTTTATATATTACTTCACTATATTCTTCTGTATAATCTTAATATATGATATATTCAAAGGATTCTCTTGCCTTGTAACATAGGGCTTGTCTACATGCCCATTTTGTATTGCACTGAATTGGAATAAATATGGTCACTACCAGTCCTCTGTCAATTTGCCAATATTGTGAAGTGGCTTAAAAAGAGAGCCAGCTCTTAAAGGTACAGCTGAGAGTTGGTTGAGAAAAGCAAACAAAAACCCCCTTATCATCCCCTCCTTTCTCCTCCTGGTTCTGGGAGGAAGTTTTCCATTAGATTTTTAATTATTTAAAGTGATTAAAAACATGTGCACTGTCCTAATACATTTTTTTAAAATGTCACTTCCTTGTCCCCTCCTCAGAGCCAAGGAAATTTTTAATTTTCCCATATCCTAAAGTGGTTCTCTTCTTAAGCCAATTCAAGATATTTGCAATTCAAACAGGAATTGTATGTGCTGGAAATGAATCAAAACAAGGTGGTCCTAGCTGCACCAAGAAGTAGAAGGTGTGGTTGGGAACACCTTGGGGGCGGGGATGGTTCACTCCAGCAAATATGTTGCCTGATTGCAATCTTTAGAGTGAACCAGGCCATCCCTACTGTGGACCAAGCACTGGGCTAGATGCCCATGTAGTCACCCTTATAATAATTTATTAGGCATGGATTTTTTGACTACAGGCCCCATAAGTTTTCATTTTTGGTATACCCTCTGAAAGGCAGACACCTACAGACACCTAAACATGGAGAAAAGGCCTAGCTGTGAATGCTTTGAGGCATTGCATAGGCTTCACTCTGCCTCAGCTTCCTATTCAGAAAGGACACTCCCATCCAGTAGTGAGAAAGCTTCCTTTCAGAACAGGAAGGGACTATGTACTATACATGACAGGCCTTTTCTCCACTTGCATCCAGATCAGATGTTTCAGATCCCTGCAGTAAATTATTATAGTTAAAAAGTTGATGCTTGAATTTCTCAGCACACCCGAGTTGCATGACTGGGAATGTAACAAGAAATACAATTGGCTGGCAATATGTCAGCTAGTGGCAAGTCACTGTTGAAAATTACTGTATGCTCTTGACCTGCATAGGTAAGTAAGAGAATTCTGGTCATTATTTAAAAAATAAAAACTACTAAAAAACCAACTTGATCCTGGTTCTTCGACTCACCTTCAATTCTTCTGAATCCAATATGGACTCTGAACATGACTCAACAGTCTCATACACTTACATTTATAAAACTGACATTCAGCTCTTTAGCAGTATATCCTCTTTGAAGGTTGCGACGAGCATAGACATCATAATCACGCACAATTCTAGTTATTATATCTGAAGTTGAGATGCCTTCTGTTCTCTGAGTTGGCACAAACATTCCTGAAAAAAGAGAAGAAGGAAAACTGATGAGATCTTCAACTTAACTATAATTATCTTTTAATTGTAATATCTGAATGACTTAGTCCTAATGCTGAATTTTAATACTTAGTAACCATGATGCTGTCATAGCCTACAGATTCTGGATAAACTATCATAAAGCACTGAATAATTTTAATCACTCCAAAAACATGCATATCTAGATAGCTATGTTAGCCAATTTTTTTATTAGCAAACATAGAGTGGTTGTGAAAATATTAAATATTATTAACTATGACACATTAACTAAAAGATGAAGGGCCTAACTGGAAATAACTTCATCATACTGATTAGTGAAGTTAAGTGTGAGTCAGTTCTGCTCTTGTTTACATAACACACACTGAAACAAGTAATTTACAACAATTAGTAAGATCTATGCTAAGCTAAATCATAGGAATCATAGAATAACAGAGTTGGAAGGGGCCTATAAGGCAACTGAGTCCAACTGCTGCTCAAGGCAGGAATCCAGATAAAAGTGTATCTGATAGATGGTTGTTCAATTTTTTCTTGAATGCCTTAAGTGTGGGAGCACTCACCACCTACCAAGGTAATTGCTTCCATTCTCATACTGCTCTAACAGTTAGGAAGTTTTTCCTGATCCTCAACCGAAATGTGGCTTTCTGTAACTTGAACCAATTATTATGTGTCCTGTACTCTGGGATGATTGAGAACAGATCCTGTTTCTCCTCTCTATAGCTATCTTTCAGATATTTGAAAAGTAGTATTATATCTCCCTTCAGTCTTCTTTTCTCAAGGCCCAGTTCTTTCAGTTTTTCCTCATGTGGCTTGGTTTTCAGTCCCCTGATCATCCTTGTTGCCATCCTTTGAACTTATTCTAGTTTGTCTGCCTCCTTCCTAAAGTGCAGTATCCAGAATTGGACACAACACCCAAGATGAGGTCAAATGCATCTGTTCTACAACTTAACTTTTCATATTGATTTCCGTAGGAACTAACCAACTTAGTTTGGATTCAAGTCAGTGACAAATAATCTAAAGGAACTGCCACATTCTCTCTAAAGCTTTGTATTTCATGTTCTAGTGCTGGCCTGTGTCTTGTAGTGTCATTGTGTGAACTCATACATACTCACATGCAAGTCCTGTTAAGTGCAATGGGGCATTCTTTGCAGCAAGCCTACCTAAGATTGCAGTTGTAATTTCTCTCCAGCCTATTCTTGGAACCATTCCTCTTTTGAACTACATGTGCACCTATACAGCAGACTTTCTACATGATTATAGCAGTCCCTGTGGTACAGAAACTCTTCTGTCTTGAAACATTTCACAAAATTACCATTTGATAGCCTCACTATTGTTAAAGCATAAGGACTGCACAGAGTTACATCAATGGATGAAAACAGTGATGGTTTGTATACTTGCTGAGTGTCTTTCTTGAAAGCTTGAGGAACTATCCAAAAGACACATGGTATTTTGCTTCTTTATAATGCTGAATTCCCAAATGAGGCAACTCTGTAGTAGTAGTCTCCATTAAGCTCTGGGAAGAAAGTTTAATTACTTCCTCCTTCAGCACTGTTAATTGTGTTGATAACAAAGCAAGTTAAAAGAGGTTTCTGAGATATACAGCATTTTAATTTATGCTCTTGGGCTCAATATTGAATCCAATAAAGACAGGAGAAGCCTTTCAGTGTTTCTTCTGAAGGGAACATGAAATAAATTCACTGTCTCACAAAATTCAGATAATTTGTATGACTAAACAATAACAACAGAAGCAAGGAAGGGATAATAATAATAATAATAATAATAATAATAATAATAATAATAATAATAATA